GGGCGTGCGCTATCTCGGGCAAAAGTCCAATGGCAAGTGCGCGCGGACGATCCAGTCGAGGTAGTTGTGGACGGTCGCCCCGAGGGACGCCTTGGACCGCACCGAGGTCGGCCGGTCCGTGGCGACGGATGGCCGGTCCGTGGCGGCAGTCGGCAGCGGCGACGACGACATGAGCGCAGCGTAGTCCTTGTGCTGTGAATACACGTGCTGCGCGAGGTTGTTGTAGCCCGCGTTGCGCTGAATCGTCACGATGTGCGGTGACGCGCAGTGGAGACACTGGTAGCGATCGGTAACCTTGGTCACGCCCGTCTTCGTGTCGACGACCGAGCCTTCGCCGAGCTTGGTAAAGTAGAAGCGCGCAATCTGCTTGGGCGAGAAGGCCGGGCCGGCCAGCGGGGGCGCTGCCTTGCGCATGCGGTCAATTATTATAAAATCAAATTTTAAGACCCACCCATATAAAACCTATTGGTGCGCAGAGCAATTTGGCGTGGAAACCTCTTTTATTGCATACGACGTTGGGTGGCGAATTTACTGTGCAATATTGCAATTGATTATATGTGAGAGGTTGGCACAATTATTGCAATTATGAGACGTCCGTGGACAGCGCTTGCACGTCGATGATGGACTGCGATGCCGTGTGTGGAGCTTCGCATACTTATAGAGCACTAATTCGATATTGTACCGGGATGCAAGGACGTGGCCTAGCGCAGCATCTGCATAGCGTGCAGCACGATCCGACGAGACCTGGGAATGGGTGTGTGCAATAAATCACTTCGTTTATTGTCCGGATACCGCGATGGGCGTCGTATCCGGATGCAATCCGCATTCCGGCGAATCTTTGATTTTTGTGATGGCCGCGGTCAGCGCCCATGTGGTCGCCGTGTGGCATGAGCACCGGCGCATGTTCCTCGCGTCCATGGGCATCGTCTTCATGGGCCTCATCTTCTTCCTCGTGACGACGTCAGGCATCTCGCCGTTCCCGCCGCCGTCGCCGCCATCCCCGCCCTTTATGACGTTCAACGTTCTCCAGGTAAGCATCTATGGGGCTTCATGGCGACATGACGCATCTCTCGGCTAGTACAACATCTTTGACCGGCCATATGCAGTGTCACACGACGGCCAGGCCGAGCGCCTTGCGCGCATTCCGCAGTCGATTCTGACGCTGTGCCCGCACTCGTGCGGCGGTGTCGACGTCGTGACCTTCGCCGAGAGCGACATCGAGTCGGACCGCAACGTCATGCTCGAGGCCTTCACTAAAGCAGGATACCTCTACCATACGACGATCCTTGCCGAGACGGACCCGTTCACGAGGTGCACCATGCCATCAACGACTCCTCACCACGCGGCGCCTCCTTGTGTAGCTTGATCAATGGCGGCGTGCTCATCGTGTCCAAGTGGCCGATTCTCCGCGAGGCCCAGCACATCTACCGCGGTGCATGCCACTACTCGGACTGCCTTGCAGCGAAAGGCGTCAAGTACGCACGTGTCAACAAGACCGTCCATGGCGTCTCGAAAGCCTTCAACGTCTTTGCGACGCACATGCAGGTAGTACATGGGCGCTTGCAGCTAGTACGATGTTTCTTCATCCGTCATGCGTAGGCGTGGTCGACAAAAGAAGGCATGGAAGACCGCATCAAGCAAGCGCAGCAGGTACCATGTCGTCTCTCCATTTTGCATTGTCGGATTTTTTTGCCGCATCCAGTTTTACGCCTTTGCTCAAGCGCTGGCGATTCCACATACCGAGGTACGACGCTCCTCTTGCATCGACGACAAGGAATACGATGCGCTGGTAGCCGATGGTGTTTGCTGGCGACTTTAACGTCGACAACCACTCGTTCCCGGACGAGGTGTCGAACCTTGTGCGCCTCTTGCACGCGACGACGCCGACGCGCGTGGGCAGCGAGCTCTTCACCAGCGAGTACACGTGTCTCTTATTCACAAATTCGAGTCGATGAGCGGTTCGTGTCTAGTCCGCATCTCAACGTGCTCGTGGGCCGAGACGGCGCAGCCAAGTCGGGCAAGTGCCTCGACCAGTACGTGGCAAGCTGGGGTCCCCTCCATGTACACTCCTACGCAATGGAGGATGCGTGAATGACCATAGAAACGTAGGACAAACTGTACACGCCCAACTACCTCACACGCCTCACGTGTGGCACGCAAGGATTGAATACTACGACGATTACCTCGAGCCAAGTGTTTCGCGACCCGTCGTCGGCCATGTGTTTTTGTCCGTGCTGTCCGTCCGAGTGGCTCGACTACGTCTTGTACGCCGAGCGTCCGTCACCGTCTTTGTCGTTGTCATGAGAGTCTAAAATTCCCTTGTGTAGTACCGTACCAGCAGCCGATCGGTGCGCCGACGCTCGAGTCAATCGTCAACCAAGTGCCGGCGGCGTTTCCGGTACCGTGGAGCGGCCCATCGTTCTTGCCGTCGTCGGCCGACAACGCGTCCTTGGCCCTCGTGGACCTTTCGGATCATTTCCCGGTCCTTGGCAAGTTCAAGTTTCCGCTGAATGCGTCCGAGCCAGTCGTGCACCTCGACGGGTGCTCGAACGACGACGACTGCCGCTTCCATAGTCTTCGTTGCTACTGCGAGGGTCCGGGCTGCTACTTTAATGGCAGCCACATTGATGGCGGCACACTGCCGTCCGACCACCCCGTCAACAAGAACTGCATCTTGCTCAAGACGCGCTTCGTTTGTGCGTGCGGCCCGACGTAAACATGCGCTATCTTTCTATCGTTGTCACTGCCCACGATGTTGCGCTGACTGGGAGCCTCGACCATCCTCAATCGTTTCTTTATAAATAAGACGCTGTCGTTGCCGAAGGAGCGGTGTCTCTATGCACACAAGACGTTGTTAAAGGCAGGGAGCATCTCGTGTAGTACCAATAGGACATGGTGGTGCGAGCGGCGACTTGTCTTTGATGCCCTTGACACACAACTTGTCTGTGATGTCCTTGACTGGCTGTGGGTTCGGATCATCTGCGCTCCATTCTGGTCTTGCGTATTCATTGCATATTTCGATGACGATATTGACCAGCTTGGCATGTTTGCGTCATCGAGTCTCCTCCTCGCATACTAGGACGTGGGCCTCAGCTCGGCTGTACCGTACTAGTACAGGACTGCCTACGAAGCAACCTTCTCTAGCCATCCTGTTAGGAAGCATGAGTGGATTCGCGTTGATATGCAAAGTGTTTGCCGTACGTAAGTCGTCGCTCGTTTTACTGACAATAAGACTATGTTTTTGACGTAGTCTTATCGTCCTTCAGTGTTTGACAAGCAATCTCCAACTGTTCGTTGGCTTTACAAACCTTTTCTTGCAACGGCGGCCGCCTTAGTCGCGGCGCTTGTGGTGCTTCTTGGCCGCGCGGCCGTCGTCGCTGTCGCTGCTATCACTACTGCCGCTGCTGTCGTACCGTTTTCGCTTCTTCTTTTTGCTGTCCTTGCTCTTCTTGGCCTTTTTCTTGCTGCTCTTCTTCGCGCGCTTGGCCTCGTCCTCCGAGTCGCTGCTGCAAATGGCCGCAAGCGCCTGCGGGTTGAGGCCGCTGCCGCTGTGCACATCCTTGGCTTTCGACGAAGATTTTTTGGACGATTTGCGTTTCTTCTCGCGGACCTTGTCGAGGTCGTCCTTGTACTTGGACGACTTGGCTTCGAGCGTGGCTTCGCTCGTCTCCTTGCGCAGCTTGGCCAGCTGGCTGCCGACCATCGTGTCGTACATGCGCTGGAGCGCGAGCTCCTTGGCCGAGACGGCGCCGGCGGCCGCGACGTGCACCTTGCACTTGCCGAGGTAGCACTGCGGGCAGCGCGTGCTCGCCATCGTCTGTCCCCTTATCTGCAACGACCGACCAATCAGAAACGCCCATGGCACCGCCTCGTTGATTGGCTAGTAGTACTAGCATGCTCGCGAAAAAGATGACGCAATCCCACCACCAGTGCCAACCTTGGACGCAGGCAACAGTGAACCATTTCCTGCGGTCATCGGTCGACGTAGCGCGTTCCGGTAGCGAGATGGAGGAGACAAGTGTCTTCTTGCACTGCACTAAATAGTCCTCGCGGTGCCCTTGCGTGGCCGCTAGCAATACTGCAAGCAGCTGAGCGTACGAGAGGATGACCCTGGACCAAGCCAAGCGCTGGGGGCATCGATGATGGTTGGACCCGGTACCAGGGACCTTGGTCTGACTTCTTCTCGTGCAAGCGTACCAACTTGCAAGCATGTGGGCATGATCGCGGACTCGAAGGGACGTGAAACGACAGTTTTTGAACAAGCATGGCAACAACAACAACACATCGGAGCCTCGAGAGCCGCCTGCGCGCCGAGGTCCCGCCCAACCTCCGCTTCATCGAAGAGACGATCGCATCATTGCCGGCGCATCTTCGTGGTCTGCCGGACGCGCGGCCGCTGCGCATGAACACTTTGAATCGACCATATACACGTACCACGAGAACGACCACCTCCAGCCGTCGCAGCAATACGTCGAGTGGGCCGCATCGAGCGTGCTACTCGCTGACCCACGCTTTCGGTCTCTGCTGCTTTCATGTCTGATCGCTTCTCATCAACCTCGTCGTCTTAGGCTCTTACGCCTCTCGACCGCCGAGGCGCAGGCGCTCGCGGTGCAGGAGTGGCGCACGCACGTGACGCGGTCCGTGTACCAAGCGCGTCTCAACCCCCACGAGATCGTCGACGGCCCCGTCGTGACGCGCTCGAAAAGCGGTGTGATCCGCGTCCAGGCCGAGCTCGGGCCCACCCAAGTCGTCGACAGCTTGAGCACCGTGCCGAGCAAGAAGCAAAAGAAGGCAGCCACGGCCTCCAAGGCGGCGCGCACGACCAGCAGTCACAGCCAACGTCATTAGCTCCATCTTGGATCTTTGATCTTGGATGGATGATCGGACAGGCCCAAGTTCAAAAGGCTGCGTTTTTATACTGCGCGCCTCGGTGTTCCGACGGATGTTCGGTGAAGGCGTCTGTTTTTGGTGAGCGATCGTCGTGCGGTCAGCAATCGTCGTCACGGATTTCCTTCGGTGCATACTGGCGAACGAGCTGCATGCCACAGGGACATGCGAGTTGTCGAAGAGGATGCGCGCCAGGTGCCTGGAAGAGGTCGTTAAAAGCGTGCGATGGGCCGCGAAGGGCGCATCATCGAAAGCGGAGTACAAGTGGAAAACGTGGATTGAAAAGGGAAATATGTGTTACACTAAACTGAAGATATGATAATAGAGAAGGATGCATCATTTACGCCGAGGCCTTTTGCTGCTTCTTCTTGTAGTCGTTGACCGCGGCCTTGATGGCGTCTTCGGCAAGCATGCTGCAGTGGAGCTTGACGGGCGGCAGCTTCAAATGGCTCGCAATGTCCGTGTTCTTGATCTTGAGGCAATCGTCGATGTTCTTGCCCTTGAGCCACTCGGTCGCGACCGACGAGGACGCAATCGCCGAGCCGCAGCCAAACGTCTTAAACTTGGAGTCGACGATCGTGCCATGCTCGTCCACTTCGATCTGGAGCTTCATGACATCGCCGCAGGCCGGCGCGCCCACGAGGCCAGTGCCCACGTTGGTCGACTTCTTGTCGAGCGCGCCCACGTTGCGCGGGTTCTCGTAGTGGTCGATGATGTTCTCGTGGTACATGCGCACGGGGCCCGCGGCGCCGAGAGTCCGCGTCGGCAGGCGCAGCGCCTTGGTCATCGTCGAGCGCATCGTCGTCGTCAGCATCGTCATCATCGTCGTCTGTGGCTCGGTGGTTCGACTTGCAGAATGATGAAGTCGACCGAATTATAATTTCACCACAGAACCCGCGCTGTGATGTTTGGCCAATCAATTGCGACTGGATTAAATAATAGCCAATCAATGCGCGAACCGACACGCGTCGCGTTCCTACAAAGACCAAGCTATTTAAGATACGACGTGGGGATTGGCGTAAAAACAGCCAATCAAAGAGGCGGCGAAGACGCAAGCCAAATCTTGGCACGAAGGCTCGCGAAGTTGACGCGACCGGTATCTTAACCGGTTGCAGTAGTCCGACCGCTGATGGCATGACCAGCATGGACGCATGCATCGCCATCCCGTCGAGGGCTTAAGGTCGTCGATAAGCTCATGCGTGTCTATGGCGACGAGCCCATGGGTAGCGTCGACATGGGCGATTACGCGTGATGGGGCAAGGAATAGCTCCCGCGTGGTTGCGCAGCCGCCAACGCCACCAGAAAAACGAGCCGACGCTCCGTTGCTCGTCCAGACGTGGGCACGAATAGTTGATGAGCTGCGGCTACGTGCTCGGTGGGCATTGTGGTCTCCATGCGTCAAATCGTCCCATCAGCCGCCCTAGACCAACGGCGCTGCGGTAATTTCAACGACCACATGCGATATGTGTAGGGCGATTGAAGCTGCCGTCTTCTGTGAGATTCCAGTATGCTGTGGGATCGTGGGAGGGACGGACATGTCATGGGTTGCGGCTTACTAGAGCAGCGGGAAGTCGATCTGGTCGAGCTATGTCCATGTGGGAGCAGGCTGGGAACGCTAGCGGTCGTGTTGGCGACAAGTCAAGCCTGCCTCCAGCCACGCTTCTGACCTCGATGGAGGGACAGACGCAGGACTTGCAAGCTTTGCGTTGCAGATGCATGCACTTTACTGTGAGGGCAGTCTCAAGGCTCGCCTCGCGGCGTGTGTCGGACGCTTCCACCGGCGCAGGCCATCGCGTAGTAGGACATGCCCCTACTGATCACGTCCGTTCTTCCTAAATGTCTGTGCACTTGCGATTCACGTCGACGATCAAGATGCTGGCAGCGGGGATGCCCTTTGGGAACACAGCCTTTCTATACCGCCGCCCGCTTGGCTACTTTCCTCAAGTGACAACCGCGCACAGGTCCGCAACACAGTTGGCACAAGGTGGGCTAGTAGCTGTACTACAGTATTAGCGTCAGCGACGCCTCGTCGGTCGGACTTGCCGACGTCTCGGATGCAGCCAGGGACCAAACAAGGGCTATTGGTCTCTCGCTTACCTCGTGATGCACGCGTGACGACTGTAAATTACATCCAGCGCCTCTGCATCTCACACCCTACTGACTTTGCACTTGGTGACTTTGCCGTTGGCGATGGGCAATTGCCGGTCGTAGTGTCTATCCGTCGCGTGGCAGTCGAGCACGCGATCGATGCTCGTCCGCCCACGCCGACCTCTCTGCCGCTGGCGTCGAGTTGGGTTGTCGAAGGTCAAAGTATACAAAAAGCAAGATAACGCGTGTTTCTCACGTGAGCAACGCCTCAAAATAGCAAGATTTGGAGATTCGCCGCAGCCGCCTCATGAGCTCGCCCGAGCTCAGCCCTTCGTCGCCGCTGCTGCGACCCATGACGCCGCCGCGCCGACCGAGCACGCCGACACGGACGCCAGCGACGCCGCCACGCAACCCGAGTACGCCGACACGCAACCCGAGTACGCCGCCGCGAACACCGATGCGCCGCCCGAGCGAGCCGCCGACGCCTATCCTCCGTGCGCTCGGGTCGTTGGACGACGAACCGCCGCTCGCTGAAAACTACCACGAATGCCCCGTGTGCCAACGCCACTTTTCACTCGTGCGATTCAAGCACCGCTGCAAAGCGTGCAATCGCAAGGTGTGCAACGACTGCTCCAAGAGCCGCTTGCGCCTCAGCGACATGGGCCTCGTGCACCGCGATAAGAAGGGCAACATCAAGCACGACCGCGGCCGTCGTGGCGCACGCGTCTGCGATCCGTGCGCGCGCAGCTACTTTGCAACCAAGATGGAGGCCGCGCCGGCCGCGGCCGCGAGCGCCCACGACGATGTGCTCTCGCCCTCGATGGCGCCTCGTATCTCTGCGCCACGCTCGCGCCCAAAGCGAGGCCCCGCTGCGGCTCCTGCGCACGCGGCACTATACGGTCTTTGGCTTCTTCTGCCTCGTGCTGCTGCTGCGCGTGGCCGTGCCCGGGCACAGTCTGCACGCGAATATTGACAAGTACCCGTTGCTCTTTTTTGGCACCGACATTGCGCGCCAAGTGCTACACCGCCTCGTGCGCCTCGACGTCTTTGTCGCTGCGCTCGTAGGTCTCGTCCTTCTGGACGAAGTCGAGCGACTGGCGCAACACGGCGCCATTGCGCCCGTCGGTCGCCCCGCCGAGCGTGCACGGACTCGAACCAGGTACACTTTCTTCATCCGAGATGATTGCACTTGGCATGTCGATCGAATGGTGTTGTAGTCGTCGTCGTTGCGCCTGTCATCGCGGTGCACGAGCCCAACTCGGAAGACGAACTCGACACGTTCCACCTCGAAGCCCTCGTCGAGAGCCTCGTCGAGTGCACCTCAAAGGACACGGTACCGAACACTTACACGATGATTCCATGTCGTATGGAGCGTGTGACGCGCAGGGTGTCAACGTGGCCGCGTACCTTGACGTGTGCGCCGAGACGGCCAAGATGCTCGTGCTTTTAGGCAAGGCGACGGCGTTCGCAGCGAGCACGGTCGCCGGCTACATGATTGCGATCGACGCGAGCTTGTGCACGAACGCCGCGCTCATTGGTGACGACGACGGCGTGTCATCGTGGCGCAGCCGCAAGCCGCCGCTCCGCCGCGTCATTGACAACGAAGTCGCCGCGGGCCTCGCGACCATCGGCGGCAAGAAGAATCCGTCCGTGAGCCGGTACATCGCGCGTGCGTTTGATGTATCGTTGGCTCATACGTGGCGTAGTGGCGTCTTGCGGCTCTTGTGGTTTCTGGACTTTGTCGAGGCGACGCTCCGCCTCTGCTTTGTCGAAGGCGACGTCGACGACCTCGGGCCGTCCATGTCCAAAGGTACGATGGCATCTCCGGTAGTACTAGATGTGACCTGGTTGCGTATTAGCGTACGAGACGACGCTTGGGTCGCGCCACCCGTGGCTCATTCGGAAAGGCGTCATGTCGGCGCTCGGGTCAGTGCCGAAGCGGTCGATGATCCTCACGGGCATGGCCAACGGCAAGCCCGAAGCCGACGCGCTCGCGCACCTCCAGAAGGCCCAAGAGCTCATGAAGCGCGTCATCGATGACGTCCGAGGCGTCCTCGCCGACCACGAGCTTTTGGATTTGAAGTAGACGACGCTTTGGTTTGTAGAGCGATTAACGATCGCGTGACGACGCGTCGTCGATCGAAGACGACGCAAAGACATAATAGACGCATCTGCATTTGTACCAGCTCGTGCGAGATACACCAGAGGCAAGATGCACGAGATGCGTTCTACCGTGGCGGGTGCATGCGCTAAGAGACCAATGGGCGGATGGACTGCCTCGACTTGGCTGCTGGACCCTGTGGAGGACGACTCCAGCCGCCTTGCCTTTGCCGGCGTGGGAGGGTTAAAAAACACGGCGGCGAGACATGTTGCAACCCCGTGTTGAAGAGAGATTAGTCTTTCTTGATGGACTTGGTCTCGTTCTTCTTGGCGTACGCGCGCTTGCGCTGGACGTTCATGTGCGTGTACATGACCGGGAGGCCCGGCACGTAGACAACAAGCGTGAGGAGCACGATGACGTAGAGCGAGACGGCAATGTTGTGGGTGTTGGGCATCGTGATCGAGTACGCGCCCGTCGAGAGAAGCGGCAGCGCCTTGAGCATGCACGTGACCTCGCCTAGACCGCATGAGCATCACGAGATACGACGAGGAAGGTGGCATACCGGTGACACCGCTCGGGTAGAGCACCATGAACAAGTGGTAGCGGAGGAAGAAGAGCCAGTCGGGCACCGCGTCGAGCAAGTTGAGCGCGTAGAACGCATAGCGCGGGACTTCAACGAGGCCCCAGCTACAAATGCGATGGGTTGCTAGCTCATGCAGCATATGACACAAGTACCTCGCGACCATCAAGACAAAGCCCCAATGGGTGCGCGACTCGGGGCAGAGCACGTTGATGGCCCACACAAGCCACAGGCGCGAGCTCACTAGCAAATCACAGCATGAGATAAGAGCGCACGATGGCCATGCATGCGCCATGATGTACCTTGCATAAAGGTCGAGCCGACGGGCGAGCGCACGAGGCCAATGAGGGCGTGGACAACCTCCATGATGGCCATGGTCTGGACGATCTTGAGCGGCTCGCCGATGAGGTCCCAGAGGCCCGCGGACGTCGTCGCGACGTCCTTGTCAGCGTAGAGCTGCTGAAGCGTCTGGCCGAGCACGTACGCCCAGCCGAGGCAGCTCGCCACGTTGAAGAGCACGAGGTACGTCGTCTTGATCATCGTCAATTCGCAAATGGACATGGCAGCCCGCGATCGCGTCCGGAAAATGAACCAATCAGACGCCGCAGATTCCGGTGACGCACTTCCCATGTCCCGTGATGCACACGTGTATTTTAATTATTGACGGTATTCAAATGTCGAGTCAACACGACGAAAATTAAATTCAGATTATTGTGCGCGGTCGTAGTTTTGTAGTGCGGACGAAAATAGAATAAAAACGTGGTGAGCAAATGATGATATTAAATAATAATATGAATACGGTGATCCTGAAATAAAAAGGCCATGATTTTATTATTATTTGCCCCCGGAAAACATGCCACATTTAAGAGGGACGTGCCGAATGCGCCAAGCGTACATTCGGCATTTCCTGCGCGCGGCATGTGCCGAAGTAGAGGTGTCGGGATTTGCAAGCCTCGCACGCATCGCGAAGCGAGGGACAAACAGGTATATTTGTAGCATACTAGTATATGACATGAACCAGTTTTGTAGTGGTTCCCGCAAAGCTGGTATCTATGCTCGCTCGTGGGGTTGAGGAGTATCAAGTAACTTCGTCTAGCACCAGTACACAAGTGAGCTATCGCAAGCCCACAAGCTCCACGCCAACGTGCTTTTCTTCCGTCGTCAGTACTGTCGGGGACGTTAGCGCAGTGCTGACTCACTGCTGTTGCGGCAGTCGAAGACGTTGCAATACGTCCATGCACCTGATCAAGGCAATCGCATTTAGGATAGCGAAGATCACAAGGCGCGAACGACATCGTGGCATGTGCCGATTTGAAGTGCAATATCCGGATTATTCCGGATACGGAGCAAAGATCGCTCACAAATCTTTTTGCTGGCAAACCCGCAAGCCATGTCATTGCCGCTGCCAGAGACGGCCTTCGTCCCGGAGGCCAAGTCGACGAAGAAGCGGCCCGAGCCCATGACGCCGCAATTCGTCATCCAGCCGACGCCGAAGCGGCGCACGGCCTTCGAGTCGCCGCCCGCGAGCGTATACGAGGCGGCGTTCGGCCTCGCGTCGCAGGCCATGTGCTCGTGATGGACGACCCCGAGGAAGAGGCGACGCCAACGACGCCGGACCAAGGCTGGATCGCACCATTGCCTTCCATGGATGCGCGCGGCGAAGAGGAAGACCTCGATCATCCGCCCGACGTGCTTGAACCCCAAGGTGACGGGCTTGAAGCCCTCGCCAGTACATCCCACGGCGTGGAAGACGCGCGCGAAGATGTTGTGGCGTTGCAGTGGCTTGGTCAGGACGCATCAGTGCAAGGGCTGGTCGAGTCGGGCAACGAGGAGTCGTCGGCTGACGATTCATCTCAGGAGGTTCAAGGTGGGCCAGATGCGCTGCCCGGCCTCGTGGGGGAGCCCATCGTGGCCATTGCAGCGCCAAATGCACTCCAGGCCATGCCATTGGCCTTCGCTGCACCAGTCGAACCGATCGGCTTTGCATCTGGTGGCGAATCCGTACCATCGAGTCCCGTTCCGCGGCCCTCAGTCGACGACGCCGAGACCCCATTACTGCAACGCCACGACGCTTTTTACTCGTCTGTGCATCTGCCATCGAGAAGCTTGGCCTCAGAGAAGCCCGTGATCGCGCCAGCCCAAATTGAAGATTCGCAGGAGCCCCTCGTCGAAGAGGTCAAGCAGTCGATGCCTTTTTCCCGCACTGCGCCGGCCGATGCAAGCTCCCACAAGCAACATGGCCAAGTCGCGTCATCCCCCTTTCGAATCTCCCAGTCTCAGTTTGGACAAATCGGGAAGGGCCTCCCGACGCGCCTCTTTAGCCAAGCCGTTGACCGAAAGATCAAGCCCGAGCCTTGCGCTACGAGCGTTGCACGGGCGCATGCAACTCGCGTCCAAAGCCGCACGTTATCCATTGCCGGAGGCAAGCGGCCTTCCCTCTCGGTGCCAAAAAGCAAGAACACTCGACCCATGGCTCAGCCCGTAACGCCAGAAGCCGCGAGAGTGCCCGTCGAGCAGCAGCCGTGTGCTGCCAAGGTCAAACCCATCTCGCTCCAGCTTCGCGACGGCAACGGCGACATCGTGCTGCTTCGCGTCAAGCCAACTGCGCTTTTGAGCCGCGTCTTTGAGGAGTTTTCCAAGATGAAGAAGGTTCCATCGGACCATTATCGTTTCTACGTCGACGGCAAGCGTCTTCCTGGCGACGCGACAATCGCCGCGGTCGAGCTCGAGCACGACGACATCATCGACTGCCTCGAGCCCCAAGTCGGCGGTCGCCTTGTGTAGGCTGTCGCACGATTCCTTATCTATTGAAGTAACGTGACATCCCATGATGACATCCCCAGCGCTTTACCCGTTCAAGGATCTTTAGGGTGCATTCGGGTGCAACGCTGTGCCTGTACTGTATGACGTGGGCACGCATCGAGGCCAATAAAGAGCTGGATCATCAGAGAATGTAATAGTGTGGCGGTGGCAATTCCAATAGAGAAAGGAGGAGGCTACGATAGTATGCAACCATTGTGTCGAGTTCCTCCGCCGAGCCAACGATGATAGCTCGCCTCAGATACGAGAGCAATGACCAGTGCTCATACCTCCCCCATTCTCGCGATCTCAGCAGGTCATGAACAAAGGTACACATTTCAATCCAACCACGGCTGTACTTGAGTAGCTCAAGTCCTAGCCATGGCAATGCCACAGTAAAGGCTCGGATCAGCTCGCATTATTGGCTCCGACACAATGTTTCCAGACGCAGCGCGCTATGCTGCATCGTGTAATTGGTGGAATCACGCAGGATCGACTCTGCATCAAAGGGCGTTCTCGTCAGTACCACAAAAGACTCGTTTCCGACGCGGACTCGAAGGAACTGCAGAACCCGCTCCGAGAGCTCCCTCGTGGAAGCATCGCGCCTGTCTCTGGTCCTCCTTCTCCCACATGCCAATACACTGTATACGGAGCCGTTTCCGTCCAGTGTTCTTCTCATCTTTGGTTGCCGTTGGTCTCATTTCCCAACTGGCGCCATGCAGTCGAAAACGCTTTCGCGCGAAATGCTGTTTGCCGCCGCGACACTCGTCACAGTCCTCTCGTCCGGCGGCCTCGTCCTCGGGTACTGCGCTTATCCTCGTCAATTCTCTCATGTACCATAAGATTTGGCCCCGTGTACACGCGGCTCGTGAGCGAGAATCAGTGGCACGAGCTTTGCCCGTCCAACAAGCCGCGCGTCTGCCCGGAGCAAGAGGTCCAGCTCCAGAACGTCTACTCGACAGGGTTTCTCTGCGTCGTGCTCGGCCAAGCCGTCTTTGGCGCGACCCTCGACCTCATTGGACCTCGCTACACGACAACGATTGCCGCCCTCGTATGTACATTGGCATCGATGTCGACTAAGTTGCCATGCTAGTTTACGATCGCTGGCAACCTCTGCCTCGCGACCGGCACTCGCGCGACGGCCTTCTCCTCACCGGATATGCCCTTGTGGGCTTTGGCGGCATGGGCGTTCTCTTCGCGTCCCTCCAGCTCTCGGAACTGTTTGCGACGCCGTCCATCTACTGCGGCATCCTCGTCGCCGCCTTTTACGCCTCGGGCTACATGTACGTTCTGCTCGAGCTGCCAATTGCGCGCGCCACGTTCTTCCAAGCCTATGCGTACACGTATCCGGTTGCATCTCGGCACTGACGCAATCGTGTAGCGGGCTCGTAGCACTCTGCGCGGTGATTTGCTTTGCCCTGTATCCCGTCGAGCACGTCTCGGCCGTCGCTGCTTCGGTGCCGATCCCTGGCCTCGCCTTGGGCCGGCCCCATGCGGATGTATGAACGACGTGTGTGGGATGCTTCGCCGACTGACGACGAAATGTCCATCCTGTAGTTGTCCAAGTTCCAAGGCCTGTATCTCAGCTTCAAGCAGCAGGTTCGGCGTCGGGATTTCTGGGCCTTTGTTTCCATCGGAGCGATCTTGACGCTCACCAATGTCTTTGTCGGCGGTGCGATCCCCAACATGGTCAAGCGCTTATCGCCCGACGACCTCGACGAGCAGAACACGTACACCAACTACGTGTACCCGCTTGTGTCCAACGCATCCTTCCTCTTCGCGCCACTCATGGGCTACCTCATTGACCGCATGGGCTTTCGCAAGGCCGCTATCGTGACGATTCTCGTGTTTGCGTTGCTCTGTGGCGCCATGATGCTGCCTTCGCTGCACGGCCAAGTGCTCGGGTATCTCCTCTTGGCCCTCGGCGTCGGGTCGCTCACGTCGATCCAGTACGCCTACATCAGTACGTTCCAACTCTGTTTCTAGTCAAGTTGATGCTGGTTGTGCTGAGTAGTGGCGTGCTTTCCCAGCAAACTCTACGGCCTCCTCTCGGGCACGGCGACGCTGCTTGTCTTTGTATTTTGTCTTGTCAGTTTTGCGCTCACGCCGCTCGCGCAGCATACGTTTGACGGCAACAACAACTATGTCCTCGTCCTTTTGCTGGCACCGACACTTGCCGCGTTGCTGCTCGTGCGCTTTGTTTGCGAGCCTGTCGAGTGCACTGAGCTTCACACGCAGCTGCTATCCCCGACGAACGCAGAGCCCGACGGCATGCGACTCGCCGAGGTGTAAAGAAGAGTCGATAGTCGAATCATGGAATGCATCTTGCTTTTGTGACGGATTGCCCGGGAGATACGTCGACCTCCAAAGGTCGATGAATGGCATAGGTAAAGCTGTCATTCGTCTTGCTCTGGTGAGGGAACCGCGCCGCCGATAGAACACCCCGTTTAGGCACACATAGATGCCATGCCCAGAGGCCTTGGCTGCGGCGTGACACTGACAACGCGATCGCGGAATCGCACGAGCTAATGCAATGGATATTACCTTTTGTCAGGATTGACGCGATGCGCTCGATGACAGACCAAGACGATAACGGGGAACATGGCTCAAGTGACGTCAGTGTCCGTCTGAAGAGCGTTTAGGAGAGACGCATGGATCAACACGCCAATGCCCCAAGCCAACTTATTGCATCAAACGCTGCGCGCTGGAGCATGGGCTGGCAGTTGTTCACCTTGACACTGGTTGTCGCGACCGACCAAGTGGGGTCCACGTCGTCTGCCCGCTACGTCTATTGCTATTGCATGCTTCAGAGTGTCTAGCTAGTCCTTGTAATGTATGCAGTCGCATATTGATCCTGTTGGACGAAGGCTGGTGTCTGCAATGGCCTCACTACACTTTAGGCGGGAAGATTGCGCGCCGGTTCGAATTTCCATCAATGCACCAATCAGTGCGTTGTATCTTGCGTGATTTTATCCAATGAAATCATTTTTGGAATTTGCAGCCAAGGGCCCATGTCGTACTTCATCCCGCCGGTCAACTATGGCATGATCGAGGAGGACCTCTACCGCAGTGGCATCCCGAACGAGCTCAACTTCCCCTTCCTCGAGCGCCTGAACCTGCGCAAGATCGTGTACCTCGCGCCGGAAGAGCCCAACCCGCAGCTCTTGAGCTTCGTCGAGGAGCAAGAGATCGAGCTCGTCGTCCTCGGCGGCAACACCAAGCTCGAGAGCCGCCGGAAGGCGTGGGAGCCGATGAGCGAAGAGACGGTCCTCGCTGCCCTCGACATCCTCCTCGACCGCTCCAACTACCCGCTCTTTTTGACGTGCCACCTCGGCCGCGACCGGACCGGCGCCGTCGTCGGCTGCCTCCGCAAGATCCAGCAGTGGCACCTCTCGTCCATCTTTGAGGAGTACCGGCGCTTTGCCGGGTCCAAGGTTCGCCTCCAGAACGAGCAGTTCATCGAGCTCTTCGACACAGACCTCGTGACGATCCCGACCAACCCGCCCAACTGGATCAAGACCCACATGATCGCAGGTCCTTAAGCTAACTACATGCTTCTCTTCCATGCACCTCGCCTCTGTCCCGCCCCTTGGCAAGATGCAAGACCATGACGCAAGGAGGCAGCTCCTTCCAATTAAAACATACACGGGCGCAAGCGTAAGGGGCGCGCTGCCCAACGCATTGGCTTCGTTTCGTGCTTAGCAGCCGCCGACCTGCTCGAGCGCGCAGTCGATCTGGTCCTGGTCTTCGAGTTCCAACTACACCATCGTCATCATGAGCTTCCTCGATGCGCTTGCAGGGAAGGCGCCGTACCATCTTCGGGGTCTGGTCCGCGGCAATGCGCGTACCGTCCAAGAGGAAGCGGAGCGCCGTGACCGGCACGCCCTTGCGCTGGGCGTACGCGGAGAAGATCTTCTCCATCTTGGTGTGGGGCTTGACCTTGAAGAAGGTTTCTTCGCCTGACTAGATGCACATAGCGACGTCAACCTCGGGTCCTAGATTCGCATCTTCGTACCTGGTCCTTCACGCGGATCGTGATCGTCTGCTTCTTGTCCTCGCCATCGGCGCCCGCCTTCGTGTCTTCGTGGTCCGACATACTTGCAGGCTTTTTGTCTTTGACCGACGTCTTCTTTTTTTACGTCCAAATCACTTGCATTCAGTATTATCATACAAAATGTAAGTATCCCGTTGCTGGCCATACATTCAACGCCCCAAGCCGGCTACAACCGGTTCAACAACCGACTACAAATTCTCGAGTGGGGTGCCTGCAACCGGCTAACCGACATTCCATGAATCCAAAAATAGACGCCAACTGATACCATGGCCAAAGGAGATCATGACGTCGATGAAGACGAGCCTCATGCAGAGCGACGACGACGAAGTTGACGTCCTCGATGCATCTTCTCTGATCCCCGAGACCGCAGGTAGCCCCGCAGTCGCATCGCCTTGCAGCGACGACGACGCCGAGATGGTCACCATCGACGTGCGGGACCCACGGCCCAAGAAGCCCGATGCTATCGTCGTCATGGAGGCCCTCAGCGGCGAGAAGGGCGACGAGCGCCATGGCAGCCGCTTCCTACGCACGCTGCATGCCGAGGTCACGCATGCGACCCCTGTCGTTCATAGCTACGGCAACGTCGAGGCCAAGCTCGCGGCGAAGCGTCGGACCCAGAACGCGCTCTTGGCCGTCGCAACGAGCCTCGGCGACGACCCATCAACGTACGCAATCAACGCACTGCCGCTTCCGATCCAAGTCGCCTTCCGGGTCAAGGTACTGGGGATCTTTACGCTCCAGCTGCTCTTGCTGTCGCTGCTGACCATCATCTTGACGTACTCGCCGCTGTGCGCACCGTCGCTGCAGAGCTTTGCCGACCAAGGCAGCGGCGGCGCCGTCGCGGGAAGCGTCATCGTATCCCTGCTGGCGCTCTTTCTCCTGTACCTCGTCAAGTACATGTTCCCGCTCAATTTTGTCATGCTGGCCATCTTTACGAGCCTCCAAGCGATCGCGGTCACGACCTTGGGGCTCTTCTTCCGCACGCGCGCGTCGGTCTTTGCATGCGTCTTTTGCTTCTTCGTCGTGCTCTGCATGACGTTTCTCAGCACGCGGACGCGGATCAAGCGCGAGGTTGACGGGCCACGCATCGTGCTGCTCTCGACGCCGGTCGCCGCTATGATTGCCTACGCGCTCGTCGGTATCGTTGCGTGCTTGATCTACGCCGGCCAAGGCGAAGCGTTCCTCTCGGGCACCACCTTTATCATCACCATGTTCTTTTCGCTTGGCGTCGTCATGTGGTTTGCATTCGATGCATCCTGCATGTACCAGATCATGACGCCGGACGAGTACATGCAAGGCGTCATCTTCTTCTACACGGACCTCATCTTGCTCTTCATCTTCCTCCTCGTCATGGGCGTCTGCGTCGCGGCCTGTGACGGCGGCGCGCCCATTGCGTGCTTTGGCAACTGCGGAGCGATCATGACCGAGGTGCCCGACGACAGTGGTGACAGCCTCGAACCGCCTTGCCCTGCCCAGGCCGATTCTACGTAATTGCTCACCTATACTACTCCATGCTCGAACGCTTCTGTCTCGATGGCGCTAGTCGTTCTTGGAACAGGACGCTAGGGCAGGAGAGATTGCTCCTCCTTGCACGCAGTCGCGTCGACACTGTGGGACCATAACACGGTAGGATTCGCAGGAGACCTTCAGCAAGAGCTTCTGCAAGTCGTCTCCACCGTATGCATGACAACCATGCTGCGAGTCGAGATGTGCTGTCGAGCGGATGGCCCTTCTGTCGCACGACGCATCGTTGCAGCTCTCGTCGCCAGCGATGAATGGTACCGTAGGCTGGTGTGGGGATGGCAAGCGACGTTCCCATCGTCTTCGGCGGGATTCCTTGACACGATGACCTGTCGCTACGAGTCGCACCGCACGCGCCTCATGTGTGTCCAGACGTCCATGCATGGCATGCACTTAGTAGCAGTACAGTAATCGAGGAGGCCACATGCAGCAGCGCCGCCGTGCACCAGGGCGACCAGGTACACCCACATGTGTTGCTGCAACTGATATGCATGACACAGCCAGATGTCGTGGCCACCTACCGGTCCCCATTGCGCGCTGCCTCTGTCGCAGGCGAGGCTTCCATGGTGAGGTCCTTCCTCGAGTAGCACCGGTACGCGCCTGGACCGCCAGCATCTTCGAGGGCTTCCTCCATCGACGTGGTGGCGTCGCGTCTTGCGACTGGCCAATAATTGCTCACCACCCACGGGTCTTCCTTGGAAGAACATTGAAAATCTACCGAGTTTCGACCACTCTTTTTTGAGTATTTTATTCATGTGTATTTTTATTTGTCGTAGCTACAAATATATGTATAGAATAAAAATAAAATACAAATACAGCGTACAAAAGAAACCACGTGGATTCGCTGCCAGGATCGCCTCGCCGTGTTATTGGCCAAACGCTGCAAGTGACCGAAGAAGCGGCGGCGCCGACGACCTCCATCTTCGTCTCTTCCTTCCCGGGCCGCCATGTCCAAGATCTCCAAGTCCAAGCGCAACTACCTCTACAGCCCCTACCAGCTCAACGTACACCACCATGCATGCGTCGGTGCATGCAGCTCATGGCCACGTAGGATGGGCTCGCCGACGCACCGCCGGACGACAATACCGCCTTCGTGGACCCAGTGCTAAGGTACGCGTCTTGCGCGTTCGCCCGCAGGTAGCTCACGCTCATTCTGTGCAGCGGCTTGCCTGCCAACTTGTCGCGCAACCTCTGGGACGACTGGAGCGAAGAGACGATGCTGCAGGACGACACAACGCTGGCTAACTTTGCCAGTGGCATGGACATGACGTTTCCAGATGCACCGAGGAAGCCGCGCGCCAACTCGTACAATTTCATCGACGCCATCATCATGGAGACCAAACCCGAGCCCGACAACCACAGCAACCACGTCAGCAACGGCCTCGTGTCGCCGCCCATGCACCTGACGCCGGCGCCCACGAATGGTATGCCTGACATGACGCTACATACAAACGGTATCGGCGCAGCAGCCACCTCGTACGCGTCCTTTGGTGCCAGCCACGTCGAGTACGCCAAGACGCCATCGACGTGGCAGCCGCAGGAGCCGCCTTCCATGTGGGCATCCCAGGACAAGCCACCGCAAGCGACACCACCAAGCCACAACATGCCGCACGCTGTCACGCGCTGTCACGACCATGAATGGCATGCACCAGCAAGTTGCCATGCTACCGCCGCCGCAGCTACAACAGCAACAACACCCAGCGACCCCGCAGCAAGGCATGCCCAGCATGATGGCGCAAGCGCCCATGATGCATCCTGGCATGGCGCCGTACGGTGCGCAGAGCATGATGATGCCCGGCTTCATGTACTCGCAACCGATGATGGGCTTCAACGCGCATCCTGGTATGATGCAAGTGCCCATGAACATGCTTCCGATGAACGCGATGAGCATGGGCTATGATGCCGATGGGCATGCCGCCGGCCGCGCCGGTCCTCAGCATCCCGCCCATGGTTCCGCCGACCCCGGCGTTCTTGGCCGCCAAGCCGCCGCTCAAGCCCAACGCCGTGCCCTTTGTACAGATCGCGCGCAAGCCGGGGACGCCGGAAATGAGCTCGATGCTCGCCAACCTTCTCGAAGAAGAGGCCGAGAAGAAGAACAAGAAGCTCGAGCGGAATCGCGACTCGGCGCGCGAGAGTCGGCGCAAGCAGCAAAAGTACGTTGAAGTGCTCGAAGACGGCATCCAGCAGCTGCAGATTACAAAGGAACACATCCAGCGCCACCGGTGGGGCCGGCCGCCGCTGCCATTGGACGCAGTTGTTGGCGTGCCGCCGCGGCACCGCAACGCGTTTGACATTGTCAAGTGGACGTCGCGCCAGAAACGCTTGCTCGGGCTGCCGCACAAGGCCCGCATGCTGGAGCTCCAGCGCTGCTTTGTTGCGATCGGCCACACGCTCGTGCGGCTGCAAAATAGCGTCCTCGACATGCAGCTCTTGGCGAGTGCATTGGAGAGTGACCTCGTCACGTACCTCGGGCTGAACCAAGGACAGGTCGCGGCGCTCCATACGACAGCGCTGACGATGCGTCGCGAAGAAAGCGTGCGGCTCATGGTGCTCATGAAGGCATACCGGGGCCTCCGGCGGTTCGCCGCCGACCTCTGCGTGCTCGGGCCTGGTATGGACATGTACTTTCGCGAACTCATGTCGGGCGAGCAAATGACCAAGTTGCTCTCGTGGACCGAGTCGGTACGCTGTATTTCTTTCAAGTTGATACTTATCTCGTGTGCGATTAGATGCGCGCCGAGATTGACCGGCTGTCGTTCGAGGACGGCGACGACGAGCGACCTATTTAAGCGTGGTAGAATCTACGAGCACGAGAACGTGTTGGACTCTTAGCAAAGGACGCCGAGGTAGCGAGACGCTTTGTACTGCGCTTGGAGCTGCGGCCAATGCACGACAAACTCGTCGGCGACGTAGTAGAGCAGCTTGCCCGAGAGCGAGAGCCGCTGGACGCGCGCAAAGCTCTCGCAAAAGAGGATCTTGGCGTCGGTCCGGAGCCCGAAAAAGCGCAGGAGCAGCACGGCTGCACACAGCGGGATGCAAGTCCCTTGGCACCGTCAGACACGCGACTACAATTGTAGTACACATTACCTGGGCCGTTGCAGAGCAAGAGGTCGGGTTGGTATCGAAAGACGATTTGCATGCAGTGGACGAACGCCTTGGCCGTCGAGAAGATCGTCGTCACCCACGATTGCCCGACCTAATATCGAGCGTCAGGAAGATGTGGCGCAAGAGCAGGCACCTCGCGGCTGCGGGGAATCTCAAAGAAAGCATCGGGCGAGGCCTAGATGAAGCTCATGAGCATGCATGTCCCGTGAACAAGGTCCTGCAGATCGACCTGGCGCTCGGCGATGGCCTTCTCTCGGCTCGTGTGATCGGTGGCCGCCACGACATAGGCCAATGGTGCATACCGCGTTGGCGACAGACGCTTGATGAGCGCCAGCATCTCGGTCGTGTGGCCACCCGACCCGAGAACGACGAGAGTCCGGAACGTGGACGTCGATGGCTTGCGGGCGGGCGGCGCGCCGCCTTTGATCCGTGCGGGGAGGATGCACCAGAGGCGCCATAGCACAAGCACTGCGAGGCCCGTCGCCGTTGCGAGGAGCAGACGCCACATTGCACTTGACTTTTTCGCCAATGACCTCGCCTTTGTCACAGGATAAAAGCACACCTCCTAAGGATCCCTTAAGGCGTGTTGCAGGACGGCGCCTGCGCCTCTCGTCAAGAGGCCTTGAGGCCTTTCGTTGGGAATGGCAGTGAACGCGGTCCGATGCGCGACGCAGACGAAGCGTGCACGATGGCGAAATACGAGCGGTCGCTTGTGGGGCGTAAGGTGGGTGCGTTTAGCCACATTTCCTTCTGACCTGTCCGCCTCATGTCGCTCTTCATGGTCGTGGGCTCGACCGAGCCGCTGTACTCGCTGGACGTCAAGCCGCGCAAGGAGGAGACCGCGCATGTCGACGAGTTCGTGCTCCACTCGGCCCTCGACGTCGTCCACGAGGCGATGTGGACCAACAACAGCATGTGGCTCAAGGTCGTCGACAAATTCAACGACCAGTTCGTCTCGGGGTTTGTGACGGCAACCAACGTCAAGTTTGTGCTGCTCCACGAGAGCCGCAACGAAGACGCGATCAAGGCCTTCTTCCTCGACGTCTACGACCTCTACGTCAAGCTCCTTCTCAACCCATTCTACACGCACGACACGCCGATCACGTCCAACGACTTGACACGCGCGTGCGTGCACTCGCCAAGCGCCTTTAATAAGATCCCGCGTTCAAATGCTGTCTCGAAGGAGCTTTCGTAGTGTACGCGGACTCTATGCTCTTGCTGGTCATCAGAGACGAGCGACATGCAACGCACATGAAGGGCCTCGCGACTTGGCAGTGCAATGTCCAAGTGCTAAGTCGCCGAGATGCGCGAACAGCTCACGCACGCTAAGCTACGTGAGAACCGCTCACGCACGCTATGTCATGCCAGTAGTTCCACATCGTAGGACGGATTGCGCTGGTGGTATGCAATCGACGATTTAGTCAGTGGGCCGCTTGCGTTGTGGGATCAAGAGAGGACAAGAAAGACAGTGGATTTTAACCAAGACTCATGTTATTGGTTTCGCGTCACTGGTTTCTTGTTGCAACTGTGTTCCATTAACAACTTAGTTACGGGCGACCTGGCCGGCGATGCGGTCAAGATCGGTCTGGCCGTGGCTGGTGATGCGGCGGCCGCCCTTGTTGACACCCTCGGGGCACTTCTCGACGACCTTCATCTCCTCGAGCTGGTGGAGGATGTGGCGGATGAGACCACCCGACGCCGTCTGGAAGCGCTGGCGGAGGACACCACGGCGGGCAGCGCCACCGTAGACCTTCTTGAGGGCACCGATACCCGTGTTTTCGCGGAGGTAGACCTTGCGGGCGATCGAGGCGGCACGGATGTAGTACCAGTCGGCATCGACGGGCGAGTGCTCCTTGTACGAAGCCGTCTTGACGATGTCCCACCAGTTGGGGAGCTCCATCTTGCCCGAGCGCTTGAGGTGCTCAGCGTAGAGCTTGATGAAATCAGCGGGCTTGACGTCACGGACGGTCACACCGCGGGGAGCTTCGAAATCAGCCATTCTGTAGAGTCTACCAGGCAACGACTAGAGTAAGAACACGTCTGTACCACCGCAATTGTGGGCTAGTCATCGCGCGCCATTGCTAGCGCGGACGAGGTCGCACCATGATCGCAGGACAGTCTCGGTTCTCAAGAGAACGCCATTAGACCAGCCCGGAACATCGTCTCCGTCGTCGACGGAGGAGACTTCGCATGGAAGAGAGCACTTACTTTGGTAGAACTTTGCAACAAGAAGAGTGGGAATTTCGCCACCAATGCAAGCGAGGGCCGAGTCGCTCCTGGCCAGTTGGCTGGCATCGCGTTTCCATTGGCTATAATACCACACATTGACAAAGGCCATTGGCCAATAATCAGCGAATGGCATCGGCGAACGTTTCGGCCAATTAGCGGAAAAGCCGGAGCGAAACCCGGAGCGCCCGGCCGCCAAACGCCGGGATTGGGTGGTGGCTGTCCGTGGCCGAATTTTGGCCAATGGCCTTGGGCGATTTGGCTACGCTTGGCCACCAACCACAAAAGCCATTTTCAGATCGAAAGCATGTTGGTGTTGTTCGAAACCGCGGCCGGCCACGCGCTCTTCAAGGTCCAGGACGAAGGCAAGCTCGCCAACGTCGATGACATCCACAAGCACTTTGCGTCGTCGGACAAGGCCAGCCAAGTGTACGTCTTCACAGCGCCTGCAATTTGGGCGAAACCTCGAGCACAGGAAACTAAGCTTGTGGATCTTATAGCGTCAAGTTGAAGGCCTTCAACGCCTTCAAGGACACGACCGAAGCTGTTGCCGCCGCTGCCGACTGCACGGATGGCACGGTCGGCAAGAGCCTCAAGAAGTTCTTGAAGAAGCACGTCAAGGACGCCGGCGTCTCGGACAAGCTCGCCGTCATGGACAAAGCCTTTGGTGGTATCATCAAGGAGAAGCTTGGCATCCAGTGCGTGCACGACAAGTCGGTCGACGAGCTCATGCGTGGTATCCGTACCCACATGAACTCGCTTATCTCGGGCCTCGAGGACCAGGACCTCAAGAACATGACGCTCGGTCTCTCGCACTCGCTCTCGCGCTACAAGCTCAAGTTCAGCGCCGACAAGGTCGACACGATGATCGTGCAGGCCATTGGCCTCCTCGACGAGCTCGACAAGGAAATCAACACGTACGCCATGCGCGTCCGCGAGTGGTTCGGCTGGCATTTCCCCGAAATGGGCAAGATTGTCACGGACAACCTCCAGTACGCCCGCACGGTCGTCAAGATGGGCGTCCGCACGAACGTCAAGTCGCTCGACTTCTCGGACATCCTCTCGTCGGACGTCGAGGCCTCGATGCGCGAAGTGTGCGAAGTCTCGATGGGCACGGACATCTCGGAAGAGGACGTCATCAACATTGGCTCGCTCTGCGAGCAGGTCATCTCGCTCACGGAATACCGTGGCCAGCTCTTCGACTACCTCAAGAACCGCATGAACGCGATCGCGCCCAACCTCACGGTCATGGTCGGCGAGCTCGTTGGCGCCCGCCTCATCGCACACGCCGGTTCGCTCATGAACCTTGCCAAGCACCCGGCGTCGACGGTCCAGATCCTCGGCGCTGAGAAGGCGCTCTTCCGCGCCCTCAAGACCAAGCACGATACCCCCAAGTACGGTCTGATCTACCACGCGTCGCTCATCGGCCAGACTGCCCCGAAGCACAAGGGCAAGATCTCGCGTGTCCTCGCCGCCAAGACGGCGCTCGCTGTCCGCGTCGATGCGCTCGGCGACGCTACCGAGGCCACGATCGGCTTTGACAACCGCGCCAAGGTCGAGGCCCGCATGCGCCAGCTCGAGAACGGCTTCACCGGTATTGCCTCGGGCAAGGGCAAGGCCAAGACCGACGCGAAGAAGTACGTCAAGGAAGCCACGCCGGCCACCAAGGTGTACAACGATGCGGACGACATGAAGGTGCAGAAGAAGCGCAAGGCCGAGGACGACGACGAGGCGTCGGACAAGAAGAAGGCCAAGAAGGAGAAGAAGGCCAAGAAGGAGAAGAAGGCTGACGTCGAAGAGGAAGTCGAGTCGGAGGAGAAGGACAAGAAGAAGAAGAAGAAGAAGAAGTCGGAGTAAATAAGCTCTCACCTGCCGACCGATCCCCACCTAGTTTCTTTATAAATACAAACTTTTCGTTATTTGCATCGTAGTCGAGACGAGCACGCTGACACCACATGCACACTCGAGTCCTTGCGCCCATCGCTGCCTGCCAGGTCGATTGGAGTAGGAGGGTTGCGAAGCTGCAATAGCCTCCCTGCAACCTGCATGTGAGCGCGTGCAAGTGTATCAAGCATTGCTGGTGCAACGGAACGACGATGCGGTCGAAGCGGCAGAGTCCGTATTGGGGCACAGATTGCCGAGCTCATGCTGGATCGGGCGTACTTCTAGCTGGACATATACGACATGGATTCGGTAGCTCGCTGTACCGACACGGTGGTTACCATCCGTCGCAGTTCGCGTGTGTCTTAAAGCTTTTGTAGGCTACTACTACAAGTCTGACGCGAGCTCCGCCGAGGACCGACCGCTGGAAGGGTCCACAAACTGTTTATGGACCCTTGTCGCCATTGACGGATCTGCGTGAGGGGTAGGGCAGTCAAACAACTGCCACGAGGCTTGTTTATGAAGGTGCGGACGTCAGCTCTCCGCATTCTTATCACCGACGTCATTACGTTCGTCTATGCAGGACACTTTTGCATCGACACAAAATCCTTTCCGCAATGCATCGGCGCCTCTTGTTGCTCGCTCGCTGCGCAGGAGGCTCGATATATGCCTGGGCACACCATCCGCCACATCAACGAGCAGCAGCGTCGAGCTGAACCAGGCGACACGACCTGATTTGGTACCCAACGGGAATAGCGCGGGCCTCGACGGGCGACCCCGTCTTTGCGCGGCAGGTGCGATAGAGCGTCCACGCGGGCGAAACAGGCCCCGTCTACATCTTTAGTCCGTGGTACATTTAGTCGATGCCCGGTGGCTATACTAGGTAAAGTATCCTGTATGCGACGGCACCTTGAATATATGTTGGGTGTGACCGCCACGCAGCGATCGCGATGAAATTTCAAGCCGCGCCTTTGCGGCCGGGAGGTGTCCTCAGCGCCGCACTTCAAGCTTGTGTCTACAAGATGTCGAAAAATGCATTTCTTTGTCGCGTGTCACCCAAAGACGATCCGCGGGGCTGGCACGCCCAGCTCTTTGTGCTTGGCGCCGGTTCTATTCCCGTTGCCCGACGACTTTTGATCCAAGATTCATTTTCCAATCCGCTACAAGCTGCCCCTTCCTCGTTCCATCATCATGTCGACTCGAACGCTCGACGCGCTCCCCGCGAGCTTTGCCGACGTTCCCCGCGCCGTCGTCAACGCCGGCGGCATCACGGGCTACGTGACCAAGACGATTTCCGTGCATATTTCGTCCAACCCGAGCACCGGCACCAAGCTCTGCGCGTACCTCGCGAGCCTCCTGACGTCGCTCCCGCTTCTCCTGCTGCCACGTATGCTCTATTGCTCTTCGATTTTTGGATTTTTGGAGTGTTCACTTTGCACTTGTAGTGTTTGTCGCGCTCAAGAGCGACGGTGATGTTGACTGGACGTGGGCCCACACGTTGATTCCGCTCTGGATCCTCGATGCGCTCCTTTTCCCCATCTACTTTCACTTGACGCGCGCGCATGACACGGCCGACACCGTTGTCGACGGCGACATCAACGCCGACACGACGGCGCTGCTGTCGACGACGCCCAACACCATTATGACCAAGTCCGTTTGCTTGCGTCTTGAGAGACGAGACACTCATGTAGCGATGTGCCGCGTAGGACGCAGATGCTGAGCCTTGTCTTCACGATCCTCACGCAAGTGCTCGTGACGATGCGCCTCGACGGCCACCTCGCGTGGAAGTGGAGCTACATTTCGCTGCCGTACTGCCTCGTCATGGTCTTTGACCCGTCGATCACGTCCGTGCTGCAAGTCCTCCAGGCCATTTTTGTGGCGCAAAAGCTCGACATGGAGCTCTCGTGGAGCTGGGCGGTCATCTTGCTCCCGACGTGGCTCCCCGCGGTCCTCATCGTCTTTGTCCTCGTACGTCCTTTTTACATGCGGCGATGGCCTCATCTCTCTTCTCTCTCGTAGCCCTCGATTGTGTTTGTGAGCATGATGTCGGCGACCGAAGAGAATGCGCAGCCGTCGTTCGTCCGTGCGCTCGTTGCTTTTGTCGGGCTCGTGGTGTCGTTGGGTCTCGTCTTTGGCCCGCAGATGCTGCTCGTCCTCCGCCTCGCGTACGTGGCCTTCCCGGCGCTCTACATTGTGTGGCCATGGTTCCTACTTTACGGCCTCTTTGTCCTCGGCGGTCTCGCCCACGTCATTGTGTCGCCGGCCGAAAAGGACGTTGAAAACGTCGCGGTCACCGTCTCGTACGGCACCGTCTAGGACGCAGAGTGCTTTCCACCTAATACCAATATCAACTTATGTGCATGCTCGTTTCAAGACTCGTCTTCCTATGCGTGGCATGTGCAGCTCGTTGTGAACAATGGTAGCAGCGGGCTTCTTCGGCTCTTCAAGTGTACTCTTGCAATGACAACTGTCGGTCAGTCTCTTCTGCATCCCGTCCCAGGTGCACCAATACGAAGACAATAGTACATAGCTGATAGATGGAGTAGATTCGCGTGGCACGCGTGACGCTGTGGCCAAGCAATTGCGCAGCGCCAACCACAATTCCCGTTTTCGCAAGGCAGCAACCGCCAACACCGATGACCCACGCTCCACGCTCATTTCCAAGCAAGTCGAGTTCACGCAGCTCGCTCTGCTTGGCTACTAGTACTCGTTTTTTAACCCATCCACCAGTCCCTTCTTGGCCGGCGGCGGTCTCCCAACACTAAAAAACTCACGCTTTTCCCCCATGCACTTGTGGTCTGGCCACGGGGACAAAAAGTTGTTGAACCTGACGGCAAGGCAACCGACGATGGTGAACATCACCACAGCAGCGATCGGCCCACCGAAATTGTGATGACCGACACCTCGCGACCCAAGAACGAGAATGCGCCGTTATCGGTACTGACAGAACCCCCTGTAGTATCGGACAGCGGATCAGCACGGTCTGGTCGACTAGTAATAGATCTGACACCGGCCGCACCCACAATCCACACAGATTCCAGACTTGGGACAATGACGGCTGCAGGAACGTGTACCAGAGCCCGCATTTGTTGCCACAACAAGCGCTTCTACGAGCGATCGAGTTTGAAAAGCGCTAAAGCAACGTACAAAATGCTATCGCACGGCGCCGGGATGAAACGAGCTGCTGTGCCAGAAACCACAACCGGCCTGCATCTTACCAACGTCAACCAAAGTGGCGTGGGTTTAGACGACATCTGATTGGCCGAGCCAATGACACGCAGCGAATCTGCCACCGACGTCGCACTTCGCATTTCGCTTTTTGTCTCCCAGAAGCATGTCCTCGCGCACACTGCGTACGATGCAGAGCCTCGGGCGACAGGGCAGCCTCGCCGAGCTCCACGGCGAGGCGCAGAACGCGGGCGGCTTTACCGGCTACCTCACGACGACGGTCACCGACTTCTTCACGAGCCCGCACAGCGCGTGCATCAAATTCGTCGTCGTTATCGCTGGTATTGCCCTCACGCTGCCCGCGATCTTGTTTCCAGGTACCTATTTTCCTTGCGTCGATATGATGTGCTATACCAAGTTGCGACGCTAGTCTTTGTGAGCCTCAAAATCGAAGGCCACGTGCACTGGACATGGCTGCAGACGTTCATCCCGCTCTTCATCGTCACGGTCGTCTTGCTGCCCGTGTACATGCTCTTGACGCAAATCGACAACCCCAAGGTCGGCAACAACGACGATGATGGGCCGCCCATGTCCAACGCCAATACCGACTGCCACGCCAACGACACCGCGGTCTTGCTTGCCGCCTCGGACGCCGAGAGCCCGCCCCAAAAAATCATGACGTGGTAAAGTCGTTGCGTCGCCTGTGCGAGCGAAATCTAATGGGTCCATCTTAGGGGAAGTGTGTTTAGCCTGCTGTGCTCGCTGGTGGCGCACATTTTCATCGCGCTTCGCCTTGACGGTCACCTTGACTGGGCGTGGCTCTACGTGCTCTTGCCGTACTGCTTTGTCATTCTCGTTGACCGGTCGTCCTCGAGCGTCCTCCAAGTGCTGCAAGTCGTCTTCGTCGCCGAGAAGCTCGACGGCGCCCTCACGTGGTCCTGGCTCGTGGTGCTTTTGCCAACATGGCTGCCCCTCGCCGTCATGCTCGTCGTCTTTGTACGTCGTCTCGTCGTGGTAGCCAATGTGCTGACAAATTGTTGCGTGAATGTAGCCCATTGGCGCCGCCTTTGCGGTGCTCATGTTTGCGGGCGACGACGACAGCCCATCGCCCACGCGGTGGTGCTTTGCGACATCGGTCTTTTTGGGCGTCTTTTCGTTTTTGCCTTGGTCACCGGTCCGCAATTGCTGATCGTCCTTCGCCTGCAGTACTTTACGTTCTCAACCATGTGGATTTGCGTGCCGTGGATCATCATGTACAGCGTTGTCGTCCTCCTCGTACTATCGACCGATTGCTATCTTCGGACACTGACGTCGTTGCGTGGTGTAGGCGACGCTAGCGGTCTTGGTCCTTGCGTTCCACGGCAAACCGACGGCGTCTCTCCAGGCGAACGGCGAGAACACGCTGACCAGCGACTACGGCTCTGTCTAAAACGACACCTTCTCCTCCTACTTGCAAGACTGAAAAAAGAGTTTGCACTCAACTCTTGGCGTGCGTCGTCAACGCATATTAGCCATGTTGGTCGCCGTTCGCAGGGAGCTTTATGGTGTCATCCTTTAGCCATCCTTTTCGCTCCCTCTTAGTTGCCTACTAGTTGCCTACTAGTACTAGTTGCCTACTAGTTGCCTTTTAGTCGCTTTTACAGTTAAAACGCGGTTAAACGACCTCGCTTCAGCTAATCACGAACAGCCAATCAGGGCTCACGATCGAGCAAATCCAACCAATCATAAGTCAAATTTTGGGGCTCCAGCCAATCGCATCGCTTCGAGCGATTTGGAATCGATATTCCACATGGTTTTTGTTGGGTACACGACGAGGCACATGGTCGACCTTCGTACGGGATTTCAACCAATCACAAAGCATTGAGAATGCCCCGAGCCCGAGAACATGAGCAGGAGGTCCCCGATCGATTGCGCCCGCGACGCAAGCGCCTGACTGTGGACAAACAAGCCGAGATTGTCGAGCTTCTCAAAACAACGATGCTGTCTCATGAGGCCATCGGCAACAAGTACGGTGTGTCGCGGCAGACCGTGACAGCGATCCAGAAACGCTCCAAATCCGTGCTCAAGGAAATGGAGTGCCTCCGAGGGCTCGCACTCACCGGTCGTGAGCACACCCGGCGCGTCGTCACGGCTCGACACCCTCTCCATCCCGTCGACTTGGCCGTCTATCGATGGTTGCAGCTCGTCGAGGTGAACGGCGCTGAGCTCTCGGTGACGGGTGCGGTGCTCCAAGCTCGAGCTCTTGACTTCGCTGGCGCCCTCGGTTTTCCGGCCTTCAAAGCCTCGAACGGCTGGCTGCAAAACTTTACCAAGCGCATTGGTGTGCACTCTAGTGTACGCTCGGGCGAAGCGGCGTCACTGCTCATCACGGCCGATGCGCAGCACCGTATCAACACCATCATTACAGCTCTCGTCGGCCCGGCGCCCTCGCCTCACGAGCGCGATGATACCGTCGACAAGCCTTTCGACCGACCGCCGCGCACAGCGACGATCGACGTCCCATCAAGCCAGCGTGCGCTGTCAGCGAGCGAGAGCCTGCGTGAGTACTTCACATGGTATGAAGACGACGACATGCTCGCCAAGCTCAACGGTATTGTCCAACGCATCGAGGCCAACGCGAGCCACACAACGCCCAGCGCGGTCTTTTACATTCGAGCTCATCCCTAAAGAAGCATCATGGTTTGTTGTTTGTATACATTCGAAACCATGTGATATAGCCCCTCTGTCCAGGTTCGTTATATTGACTTCAACGACGCAGCGGTCCTACTTTTTGTGAACCTCAAGATACAAGGTCGCGGGCAAATATTTGCTCCGCTCTTCATTGCTCATACACGTGGTCTTGCAGCGTGAGAATGCAACGACCTGCTTCCACGCATGGAAGCATTTCAGCCGCCAGAAGCAGCAGCAGTGACCTTGGGATTGCGGATGATATTCTCAGGAGCACGGATGCTCGTGTCAATCGAAACTTGCAGCGACAACTCATATGACCTGTCCCACATGCACAGACGTGCTGCGTGGGGACGTTTTTTATTACTGAATCATTGCCGAATGTACGTCGGTTCAAGCTTGCAGCTTGGATTGCGTTGGTTTAGTGACATGGATACGACAAAAGCTACTGCACACTACAACCACACCACTACGGGGTGGCGGTAAGGTGCCCGTCCCATCGACATTTTCAAAAAGGCATGGCGCCAACAACAACGTTCACGCGCGAGGGGTCGTACGCCAAGTTCTCGGAGGCTGCGAAAGCACGGCGCGGCCCGCTCGGGTACATGGCCCGCGGCTACGAGAAGCTTTTGCAGCAGTCCAAGACCTTGTGCGTGCGCCTGAGTCTCGTGCTTGGCGGTCTTTTGCTGCTCTTGCCCGCCGTTTTGACACTGCGTACGGACCTTTCTTCTCCCGTACATCTACAATGGCGACTCATATCTTGTCTTTTTAGTATTTATCTCCTGGAAGGTCGACGGTGCGATCGACTGGAGCTGGGCCACGGTGCTGGTGTTTGTATGGATGTACGACGTTCTCGCCTGGTACGCGGGATTTGTATCACTCGAAAGGCACGACCTCGTTTTCTTGGTTAGCAATGGCACGCTCGCGTGGCTCTGCGGCTTTCTCTTGCATCTGTTTGTGGCGCTGCGCCTGGATGGGCACGTGGACTGGTCCTGGATCTGCGTCTTCATCCCGTCCTTCGTCGCGATTCTCGACTGGAGTGGCTCGAGCGATGGCTGCTATGCGCTCCAGCTCATTTTTCTCGGGCTCCAACTCGATCACACGGTCACGTGGTCGTGGCTCGTTGTCTTTATCCCGACGTGGGTGCCGTCTGCCATCGGTGGCCTCATCTTCGTACGTCCATCGATGACGTCATACCTCGCTGGACACGACTGTAGATTGTCTTCGTGTGCGCCGCATGCTTCTCCGATGCCTCGTCGCGACTGAGTGCACTTGGCTTGGGTCTTTTGGCGTGTCTCGGCTTTGGGCTCCTCGTCGCACCCCAAGTTTTGCTCCTCGTCCGGCTCGGGTCGGCAACATTCTCGACCGTGTACATTGTTTTGCCGTGGCTCATTCTCTTCGGTCTCGTGATCCTTGTGGTATATAGTATCGCCGGCAATGGATTGATGAATGACGACGACGACGACTTGTGTAGGGCATTGTCGCAGCCATGGTGATGGACTTGGACGACATTACGAGTGGGCCAGTCACGACGCCTATTGAAGAAGAAGCCTAGTGCGCTCGCAAACGTGATGCAGGTCCAGAGAGTCGCCTGCATGCAACAAACACGGTTGCCAACTTGTATACATTAGATACGATATTTTTTAAATTCTTCGCAGCAAACGGTACTAGTGTAGCGACAAAAGCGTGGTGGAAGCATCGACTGTGCGGTAGTATCGAAATCCTCCACATTTGAATATCGGTGTACCGGTAGGGCAAGGGGATGCACCTACCCGTGCAAGAAAACGGTGCGATCCTATTTCAGCACGTGCTTGATCGTACAAAAACTTGGCGACTCTTGCGGTGTTGCGTTGTCGACAGCTAATATGATGTGACCCAGCATGTGGCGTGCTTCAGTGAAGGCACAACTCTGCCCCGGTCATTTTTTCATTGCATGCCACATTTCATTAATTGCCGAGCCACAGAACAGAGCTGACAGCTTGTGCTTCGTGACGCAGTCCCACCCATTTTTGCTTAGTAAAAAGGGCAAAACATATTGTGGACAGACACAGGTGGGCTTCGCGTGAATCACTTAATTCGAATAGTTGCTGTAAAGTGCCTTGCAGTCATAAAAAGCTTTTTGTACCAGTGGGATTAAATGGGTACTACATCGAACCCAGGCAGCCGCAGATTTTTGTTGGGATCATGGAAGCTGTCATGAAGATGATGTTTGCGAATTTAGCCCTAAACAACGGGCGGAGGTTGGAGCGATACATGAGCGAGCTACTTGAGCGACCAAGCGGGGGGACGTTTTCATCCCACAACACACACAAGGTTTCGTTGTCTCGGCAGCACGCTGGGTAGCATTGCTCATGACGCGCTGTTTACAACCACGCACAACGACGACGAACCTGCATTGACGAACCTGGGTCTCTTGGGTTGCGTCGTACAAAGTCGCCAAAACATTTCCATATGCTAGTCAATCGCTGCTTTTCCCTACCCCTTTTACGAAACCAGCCAAACCGAGCTCGTCATTTTTGCGAACCGGCGGGTTTCCTGGATTTGATCAAATTATAAATCATTTGCTTGTGGATAAAAGGAGTGGACGACAGGAATTTCTTGCAGTATCGAGGACCGCTCCAACGGTGTAACAAGGGTACTAGTAGACATTAGCGTAAAGAAGCCATGAGCAAACGTGAAGGGTGGTCCCTTGCTCGTTCGCAGCCCGCTGCGTCACGTCCGAGCCCGATTGTACGTGCTTACCCAGAGCGGCACGCTGACAACGATAGGACGGCAGCAACCGCGATGGTCAAGCACAGTTGGTTCACACCCAAGAGTTGGTGGCGCGGCAGCCTCCCACGTCATTGCAGTGCCAGCACGATATCGCCAATGCTATCATACGACCCCATCAATCTAGTTCCTTGAGGCACGGTCCACGTACAACCCCTAGCAACCCTGAGGAGCAACCACGCACAAGAGAAGTGCGCAGTTTTGCATGTGTCGCAACAACCACCAACCAGCTCCAGCTTCACAGCCTTGCATTCCCAAAGATATGACGACGATCGGATCGACGCCATTCCAGAGCATCGAAAGCACCGGCGCCGACGTCGCAACCGAGCTTCTTGCCGACGAGCGCGGGCCACTCACCTACCTGTTTGACTGGTTCATAAAGGCCTTGCGCGACGCCGACTCTGCTTGTGCCAAGCAAGGGATCTTCGGTCTTGGCCTCCTCCTCCCACTTCCCGCCCTCCTCCCTGCCTGTACCTTTTGAAAAAACACAAAAGGATCTCATGCTCGGATTATGCGTATAGTGTGCATAAGCTTCAAGGTGGACGGCAAGATTACTTGGCAGTGGCGCACGATCTTTGCGCTTGTGTGGCTCGTGGACGCCGCATGCCTCGTCTACTGCATTCGAGCTATTCCCAGCTGGCCGAGCGCTACGAAGGCAACGCTCTCGCGAACCATGTACGCATCGTCCTCTGAATTTTGGAAGCGTCCTGATGCGTCGGGTAGAGCCCACTTGGCCATCTACATTGGCATCACGATGCACCACGCCTTCATCGCGCTACAGCTCGATGGTCAGATTACGTTGTTGTTGAAGTGGGTCGTCTATTACAATAGATAAAACTATGCTAAATAAATGGTCAGATTACGTGGGGGTGGATCTGGGTCTTCTTCCCGTTCGTCGTCACAACATTGCCCGAGCACGCAACCCTGTTAACAATCGTTGCGTGGGCTCAAATGGTGCTTCTCGCCCCGCGCCTGGACGGCGCAGTCCTCTGGTCTTGGCCCGTTGTCATTTTGCCCCTGGAGCTCTACGCGATGGGCAGCCTCGTCTCCCGCGTATGTGGTCGATTGCTATGGATCGGCGAAGAAGTACTACTACGCTGGATAGGTGTACTACACGCTATGCAGTACCGAGCGTCCACCGCGGGCGGTGGCGGTGGCGTCACTGATAGCTTGTACGCTGTTGCTTGTGGCGCCACTTGGCCTGCTTCTGGCACGGCTCGAGGGATGTGAGTTTCCGACCAGCCGCATTCTGGTGCCGTGGTTTCTTCTCTATGGCTTTCTAATGCTTTGGGTATGGCGTGCATACTCGTACCACATTAAGCTCATTGTCCTCTGGGGGTAGGGCTTTGTCGTCGCGCTGCACAAGGATGCAGACAATTTGTATCGTGTCGTTTTCGCAGCACGTGGCATGCACGCAGCGTAAAATGGAATAAAATTCATCTACTCCCTCGGCGCCTGATGGCCATTAAACGGGTTGCACGCACAGAACGGCAAAAGAGAAATCCAACTCTAGCTACAGACGCCGGTGGTCATTTACCACGAGAGGCGCCAGCGTCGCACCATTGCTCTCGGAGGAGCACACGATACGCGGCCTTTGTCATGCACCTCGTCCCACGACGCCATGGCCATGGCAAAGGCAGCTAAAATGCAGCTAAAAGGCAACTAAAAGGCAGCTAAAAGGCAACTAAAAGGCAGCTAAAAGGCAACTAAAAGGCGGCTAAAAGACAACTAAAAGACAACCAACAGGCTACTAAAAGGCAACTAAATGGCAACTAAAAGGCAACAAAAAGGCAACAAAAAGGCTACTAAAAGGTGGGGGTACTGTACATGCAGCAAACGGATAGCAAATCGATAGCGAAAATATCTTTTTGGAATCAGTTTGCATTCGCTTTGAGGTCCATTTTGCCTTGATTTGAAAGCGTTTTGTGTTGTTTTGTTCTCGCAATGCTGTTGCATGTGGACCCCCAAAGGTTGATTGGTGCGATATTGCCATTTAGAAACAAGATGAAACTATGTGCGTCTCGTCACAGAAAGGTAGAAAAGTCATCTTCAACTCTTAGTCGTACGTGCCTGAACAAACGCGACAGCACAGAGGTGAGGGGGACGAAGAAGACAACAGCCACGGGTGCGCAACGTCATCAGGGCCGTCGAGGTGGCGGACGTCCTGGAAGATCACCTCGTCCTCTCGGACCGTTTTGTCTCTGGCTCGACCTTTGCACATACTGTACGTCATCCCGATGCAATTTAGGAAGGATAAGAAATCATTTGCGCTTGATTTTTAGTGCTTAACCGACGTATTTACTGCACGACGATGTCAAAGTGCTGGGTGAGACTGCGGAGCATCGCTTCGAGGCGGTCATTCCGGGCGCGTTCGTCACGGAGAATGGCGTGCAGCTCGGCGATTTGAGCCTCGTTGTCGATCTCAGGCTCGTCGTCCGACACGTCTCCGTCGTCGTCGTCGACGTCCACCTCGAGCATGATATGACTGCGGATCAGCTGCGTTGCCTCGTCAGTGGGCACCACGGGCATCGCGCGGAGGCCGATGGTCTTCTCACTGCGGATGATGCACTCGGCGAAGCTCACGCGCGCCTCGAGCTTGGCCATCTCCATGACCTTGTCCATCGACTTGTTGAGCATCGCAATGAGCACGTTGAGGAGCATCACGATCACAAGCGTCGCATGCGTCAGCAGCAGCGTGTAGCCGAGCACATATGGGCCCGGCGCCGGGAGGTCCTCGAACGGATCGAGCTCGATTTGGCCGAGCATGACGAGGAAGGTGGTGATGAAGCTGTGGGCGATCGTCGCGTAGGCGTCGACGTCGCGGCCTTCAAAGAGGAGGTAGTACGCAATTGCATACGCGCACTGGAACGGGAGGTAGAAGGCCATGAACTCGACCACGTTCTTGAGCATAAAGGTCATGAGCGAGATGAGGTACCCGGCCGTGCCGTGGATCTCGAGGTACTGAATCCCAAGGGCCCACGCTGCGAACGTGATGATGATACCGAAGTACAAGCGGACGCCGTCGCTGGACGGGTAGAAGGTCTCGGTGATGACGAAGACGAGGATCGCAACGAACGTCGGGAGCTGCACCTTGTTGAAGAACGACTCGAAGTAGTGTGCCGCGTTGCGGCCGATGAAGATGAGGAAGAAGTTGCAAACGGCCTCGACGGCGACCTCGAGCAGCTGCATAAAGTTCGGGTTCGCGTCGACGTTGACCTCGCCGTAGAGCTCGAGGATCTCGAACCGAATAAAGTACAGCGTCGTGGGCGCCAGCACGAGGTTGTTGCAGCGCACAAACCAGATCCAGTTGACACGGGCTGCAATGAGATCGGAGCAAAAGTTGAGCGCAATGAGCACGAGGCCGATGACGACGATGGACTGGAAGGCCCAGCGCTTGCGGTTCGCGTAGGTAAAAAAGGAGGTCGCAACAAGTCCGAGCACGAGGGCAACGCCGAAATGGAGCCAAACGAGCAGCTGCGTGTGGAAGATGGGCGACTCGCCGTCGCTCAGGTCCATCGTCACCGAGAGCGTCAGCGTCGTCAGCAGCAAGAGGTAGAGCATGAGCTGCTGCATGTACATGCAGCACGCAAAGTTCTACGAGGCGTGCTTTACCAACGTGTTTGATGGCGGAAGGGTGGTCGTACCTGCCACTTGATGTTTTCGACTTCACGCATGACCGGGTGGTTGAGCAGTTCCTTGGCCTTTGGGTGGCGTAGGATTGTAAACAGAATCGAGTTCCGCAGTGGTCCGTCGCTGCCGTAGATTTCACGAATCTATCATGCAAGAGTTAGCGCTCTCTTGTCCTCCGTGATGGCGTACCATGGCGTCGTGGAAGCCGTTGCGTCGAGCGTCGATGACCTTGTTGAGCTCGATCGCGGCCTTGCGCACCCTGTTGGTGGCGATGTAGCCCCGCAAGGCGTCGAGGTTGAAGGGCGCCGTGTGGACGTCGCGGCGATGGTTGCGCGCAGCTGGCATGGCTCGAACGGCCTGGTGTCGACCAACGAAAAGGCAAAGTGAGAGAGCACAGAAAGCTGCAACCGCGCGCAAGCGGATCAATATGACGCAGCTGCGCTCAAAGGCCGGAAAATGACGTGGCACACCAGATTGCATTTCTGTATTTTTATGCCTGTATCGTACATACCATATATAAACCAAGTGTGGAGCGTCATTTAAAAAAGATTTGTCAACTGGATACACTTGATAAGCCTACTGTGGCCAATTATCAACTGGCCTCCACCAATCCGCGACGAGTATTTTCGAGATAAGAACGTATTGTACAGCGATTGTGCGCTGATGATAGATGAAGCACGATCCTCCTCGTGCCCAACCCACTCATTTATCACTTGTCGCTGCCGCCATCATAGCCAACCTAGCACAGAGCATGGAGGAAGGCGGTCTAGGCCACCGATCGCCGTATGAACCAGTCGCGACGCCCCCTGAACCGGCGCGGCAGCCGAGCCACCAGGAAACGACGCCAGGCCAGGAACGCAACCAGGCGCCAGCGGTCACCGAGGCAGCGTTCAACCTCAAGAAGCTACACGGGTACATTGAGAGAAAAAAGTTCCAGCGCGCGTGGCGTGAGCTCGACAAGTGCAAGCTCAAGGTCACGGCGCGGAAGGAGCGTGGCGAAGCGAAAGGCGTGCCGCTCGACTCGGATCTCGTACGGGATGCGTCGTCTTATCTCGTCTCACGCGTGCAACTGCGTAGCTCGGTGAGTTGTACGGCAATCACGCTAAAGTGCTGCGTGAGTCGACCCTCTTCAAGCTCCTTCGCGAGCCCGCGATGAAGGGGCTTCTCGAGCACGAGGCAATGGCCGAAGTGCTGCGTTTGAAGTGGAAGGTACACGTTTTGCATTTTGATCTTTTCCAATTTGACGCATTGGCATGTAGCATTTCGGCAACAAAATGTACATTCAGCAGTGCCTCTTGTACCTGCTCTTGCTGCTCACGCTGACGATCTCGGTGTCGATGGACCTCGACAACGGTCCAGCCCCCGAGTTCCATGGCCAGCTTTCGCTCTGTCTCCACGGCAGTGTCGCGCTTGGCCTTGGTTTCGGTGCCACGTTTCTTCTCGAGCCAGAGACAGACCGCAAGTACTGGGGCCTCGCGACGCTCGGGGTCATTGCAATCGTCGAGGTCGTCCTCTGGCTCGTCTCGGAGCTGATTGCGCTGCACGCAGACTGGGCCTGGTTCGCACGCATCAACAACGTCCTCCTCTCGGCCGTCGCATCGTACTTTATCTGGTTCGAGGTCAAGGAGCTCTACGGCGAAGTCAACGAGAGAGCCAACGAGAACGGCTGGGCCTGCATCGCGCTCGAGGCGCTCGGCGACTACTTAAAGAGCTTTGTCGACAAGCCCGCGTCCCACTACTTTGAGTCGACCTTCAACAAGCTCCAGCTGCCCCTGTTCGTTGCCCTCTTTGTCTTTGGCCTGTGCGAAGTGCTCTCGCCGTCCTCGGGCGACGCAGAGCTCTACGTGAGCATCACGCTGGCGTTTGCGACGTGGGCGCTGAGCATCCAGTACCTCGAGGTGCACGAGACCGCGGGCTACTTGATCCCGATGATGAAGCACATGCTGCACGACGTCTTTAAGTTCATGGCCTTCTACGTTCCGTTCTTGTGTGCCTATACGATCGCGTACTACCTCCTCTTTCAAGGGCGGAACGAAGACGCGTACAACACGCTGAGCCACAGCTTCGTCACCGCGTTCTTCGTCCTCGTCGGCGAGATCAACGCCGACCCGTTCGAGAAGCTGCCGGCGCCCGGGCCCATCGTGCTCGGCTACACGCTCTTGTTGACGCACGCCACCTTGGTCATCGTGCTCCTCCTCAACGTGCTCATTGCGATGATGAACGCGACGATGGCCACCGACATGGAAACCGCGCAGCTCGACGCGATCGTGAGCTTTGCCGAGTGCATTCTCCGGAGTGAAAAGACCATCACGCTCCAAAGTCTGCCGGTCGCGCCGCCGCCGACCAACTGCAGGACGGATGCGATGCAGCGCGCGATCATGGCCGCAGACGACGAGAGTCCGCCGTCCGACGCAGAAGACGAGCCGGAGCCTGTCGTGAGCCTCAAGACCCTCCACAAGAAGCTGCTGGCGATTGAAGCGCGCGCGGCAACCCTCGATGCGATTGAAATGCGCTTCACGGCCCTCCAAGACGAAAATGCACAGCTCCAAGAGATGCTCCGCTGCCTCGACGCGTTCCTTTGCCGCCACGATGCGTAGTTGTGGTGATGCCAAAATTGTGCTATAAGTCTAAAATGCAATCTTTATGGAAACTCGTTTCAGCCGGCGTCGAGAGCAGCCTCCGGCGTGTCAATTTGTGCTTGCCGACTGGACGTCAGTGAGGATGAGCTGCGATATCCTTGCTGCATGGACTCTACCACAATGATGAACTTCTTCTTCGTCAAGGCGAGCGGTGGCATCGGTAAGGCTCATCGCGTCCCTGTCACTCGTCACGTTCTCGAGAGCTTGGTGCTGCGTTCTGGTTGCTTGTAGATGCTTTTGATCGGCAACACGTTGCTCGTGGATTGTTTGGCTAGTATCCACGTACTCACGCTCGGAAGCGGCCGTCGACGCGGCGTCAAGTGCTGCCACGCGCGTCGTCGCCGCTTGTAGTTGGAGGGCGAGCTGTTCGTTGGAGGCAGCCAGTGCGTCACGCTCGGCAATCACGTCACGGAGCTCGTTTTGGGCAGTGATGGCTTCTTGGGCGCACGCTGCAAGGACTCGCTTGGACTGAAATAGCTGGATCTGGACGTATTTGGCGGCCGAATCGGCCGCTGCCATCTCCATTTCATGCTCGTGTCGACGGGCAACCAGCGTTGCAATGGCCGCTGCAGCGAGACCCTTGGCGGCCACCGTCTCTTTGTCAGCGTGGGCAAGTCGAATCTTGAACGTCGCGGCGGTCGAGGTCACCGCTCGGTCGAGCGCCCTGGGTTCTTTCTGGAGCTTGCTGTGCGCGGTGCGAATCGCTTTCAAGTCGCGCTGGGCGACCTTGCAGTGCGGTTGGATTTCGGTCTGATGCAGCTCGACCTTGAGGTCGGCGCTGATCTCGGTCGCCGTCACGCGCTGGACCCGCGCGGCTTCGTGGAGCGCTGCAACCTTCATGGTGAGGTCGGTAATGCTCGTGTCTTTGGCGGCGACTGCAGTCTGCAGCGTCTGGATGGTCTGAACACTGTCGAGCAGCGGACAGAGCTTGGTGTCGTACATGTGATTGGTGGCCGACAAGAGCTTGTAGGCAGAGCGACAGAGGACGAGAAGCACGCGGCGCATGCCAAAGGTGCGGCCGAGCATGGTCAGGAGGAGGCCCGCGCCGAGGTAGCGCTGGGATTTGGCACTCGAGCGCGGAATGTAGAGCGCGTGGAAGCCAAGCGTCGAGGTTGTCATCGTGGTGGGGCAGGTCATTTTCGTACATGGGTTTTGACTGCCAAGGGAAAAGCGGCGCTGAGCCTTTTCCGTGATAGCCTTTGCGTAGCAAAGCACTGACTGTTGCCCTCTGTTTTGCGCACTGCCATTATTGTGGTGGCTGCATACGTTGCTTTTGTCGTCCTACTAGTTTCACCACTGAGATGGGTTGGACAGGTGAGACGGGCTTGATCCGAGAGGAAGCAAATGTCCAGGCGAAGGCTCCTCGTCGGGGTGAGCAGCGCAAAGACGGGCTGCAGAAGCGCGTACCAGTCGTTGACGATCGCTCGTAAAGATCGTCCATCTTGGCCGGAGCGTGGTTCTCACGGAGCAGCGCTGGGACTTGAGTGGGAAGACAAACTTCCTCTGCGTTGGCCAGCGTGAATCGGTCCGAACGTTGTGGTAGTCACCTCGCTGGATCCAGGACCAACGATGCAGATAAGTTGTGTCGACTACCTTGGTTTTGAGATTGGAGAAATTTTGAGATTGGAGAAAGGATTTTTGCACCACCGACATGTCGTCATCGACGCTCTGTACCAACGAGATATCTTTACTGCTACAACACGGGCTCTGAACACGTGGCGAGTACGTCGGTCGTGGTATTAGGATCGTCTTCTGCCATCCCCTCGCCTTCCTCGGCTTGGGGTGGTGGAATCGGCCAGAACAGAAAGATGGCCAATGCGCCCTAATGATGGTGCCGTTAGCCATGCTTTGATAGAGGTACATACGGTGGCGATGAGTAGCACAATCGAGGCAAAGTAGGGCAGACACGTCTCGAGCGCCGAGTACGTTGATGACCCTTGGAGCTTGAGTGTGATGAGAACGAGCGAAGCCACGACCGCGCCGGCGGCCAAAAGACCCGCAAGACTAAAGGCGGCCACTACAGAAGGCGACACAAGATCGAATTCCTTGGCGGCAAAGTACACGATGCAGGGCTACAAGGGCGTTGAGTATCGCAAATCACTGCGTACGCGCACCAGTAGAACGACGACGACACCGAGGAGGATCCACGTCGGGATCAAGATGACGGCCCAGCTCCAAGAGATCGTGTTGTCGAGCTTGAGGAAAATCACACAGTACTGGATAAGGAGCCCCGTGCTACCGATATCGGGGCCGCCAACCGCATCCGAAACGATGAACGCGAGAAACAACCAGATCCATGCGCACTCGAAGACATGGTCCATGCGCAGAGCCACGAGGAAATGTGCGACGCAGGTACCGACGCCGCCAGCAAAGTCGCGCCTATGACGACACCAGCGTCACACCTTTGCATTGCCAATGCGTTTGTAGTACGTACGTAGACAACATCATCTTGGGACTGGTGTTCGCTGGCAGTGGTGCGTCAGCGACGTCATCCAGTGCCTTGGGTGCCGCGTCGACGGCCTCGTCGGTGGCGCCGTAGGTCGGTGGACTCTTGTTAGCGCCTTCTTCGAGAGATGCATCTGCCTCTTCTATTACTGCGCTGGCGTCGGCGGCTTGGGCGTCCGAGTCTTCGATAAACAGCCCCGCGACGGCGATCATGATGCAGAGAAGCTCGAGGACCCATAGCGGCGCCAAGGCAATTCGCCACGGCGCGAGAATAAGGCCATCCACCTTGAGGCAGATACACACTAGCAACATGGCGAAGCGTGCGTGAGGCTACGCAGAGCATGCGAGTACGTACATGGGATGAGAACCAAGGGGACGAGAAGAATCACGACGCAGGTAACGTAGCCGCACAGGAGAAGCCGCAGCATTGGATCGGTGCGCAGACTCTCAAAGACGAAGCGCGGGGTCGCGGGCACGAGGCGGTCGATGATCGACTGCGCAACGGCGTTGTCGTTGGCGGCCATCGTCGGCGGCGGTGTCACCTCGATTTTCGCTTCTGCCGCCTGGTTGTAGTAGGGATGGATGCCATTGGCTATTTTTCGACCAATCCGAGGCCGATATTTGAACCTCGCGGGCCAACGCTTTAGAATTCTGTAGGCTGGCATGCCCGAATCTCTTCTGTTGAGTCTCAAAACTCAAGACATCAAGTACTACTTGCCTGGACACGAGTCCAATAGAAGGTGAGTCACTCAACTCGCTTTCGGACGGCGCGTGCCGCTACCACCACGAACTCGGAAGCGCACGCCGACGCTTGTCCTCGACGCGCAAGGGTTCATTGCGATCTCTAGCACTCTGGCGTCGACGCTACTGCCATACTACGCTCTTGGCATGTCTCGAGAGCCAACATGTCTGTGAAAAACACAGCTTTGGATTTCCTGGGTACAGTACTCAAGGGGCAGCACAGAGTCGATGATGCAGTAGTGGACGACAAGGTTTAGCACTCGTCGTCGGCGGCCGCGTGGACGTAAATCGTGCTCGTCGTCGGCTCGGGTGTCATGAGAAACACCGACGCGAGACCCTACTCCACGACGTGAGACATGTCCACGATGGATCAAACGGAACGTACGGCCACGATGGCCACGCCGACGAGGACAAAGAATGGAAGGGCAATGAAGAACGTCGAGAAGACCGCGTAGTCGAGGCGGTAGATCGCAATGAAGATCGGCGACGAGAGGAAGACGAGACTGAAGAAAACGCCGAGCGCGAGGAAGAAGCGGAAGACGCGCGACTTGGGCTCGACGTCGTCGTCGTCGTCGGGCGACGCCTTGAACGCCCAGTACGTCTGGAGCGGCTACATCACGTTGGCATGAGATGTTGGATGCAAACGAAACAGCAAAAGCACGGACAAGGAAGACGAGGAAGATGGCGAGGCCGACCCACGACGGCATGAGCGTCAAGAGCCACGTCGAGTTGAGCATGCCGTCCATCTTGGCGGCAATGAGGAGCGACTGGATCAAGTCAAAGCCCTCGCACGAGAGAACGCTGGCGACGTAGTACGGAATGAACACGAGGAGCCAGTGCCACTCGACGACGTGGTCGAGGCGCAGGACGACAAAGATCTGCGACGTCAAGTACGCGAGCAGCGCCAAGTTGCGCGTCCTACGCATCTGCCGATGAGATATATGCACGACGGACGGCGAC